GGCGTCCGGTGAGGCGGCGGCCGGGGGGGGGGAGAGGCACGGCTGCGCCCCTGAGGCTCTGATGGCGGTTATGACTTTATTTATAGTCACCCTCGTTGTTTTCAACGGCTTTTACAGGAACATTATCTTGAACAACCCGAGGAAGAGAAACGCCCTGTCCCTCTCCATGCTGCAGTCCCTCAGGGAGGACCTGCTGCACGACGTCAAAAGCAAAGACCTCCGAGTTATCGTCATCTCAGGTACTTCCGTCATTTAGAGCCGACGGAAGAGAAGGGGAGGGCGAGGGAAGGAGGCGAAACGGGATAATACAGAGTTTAAACCGAAATTTCTCACAGAATTCCCGAAAGTGGGACAGGGAGGGATTTGCATGTTGTTTTCCGGGACCGTGCAGAGTATCCTACAGGTGCCTTCACCCTTCAGACCCTGCTCTCATGCTGTTCATACTTAATCCCTATTTCCACTCTCACGCACATAATTCCTCATTTTTGAACACAGTATTAACACTTGACTTGGGTCTTGTTATATTTTTGTTTGCAGTTAACATGTCTAAGAAGAAACACTGTAGAAACACGTTTCAGCATGTCAGTATTTCAGTCGGGTTATGCACTGTGTTTAGAGCCCATGAGCTTTTTCCTTATGTAAAAACAATCAGTAGATTAAGTAACTCGTTTAAAATTTATGTGTAAATAATACTTTAAGCAGAACAAAAACCAGGTTCTAATGGTTATCAATCTAAAGAAATAACATTCCCAGATACAAGGTTTCATGCAGGAACAGGCTGAGCTGGTGTGACACTTGTCTCCTTCAGTGGCAGGTATAGATTGGAGTAAACAGGGCTCACAAAGTTTCTTCAAATCATCTGCTCAGTTTCCCCACGCTAAGCTCGATCAGCCTCGTTATCTGCCACTGGCTTGTCAAAACTGGTTTTAAAACTCTCCGATGAAGGACAGACCATAATAACGATACCACAGTCACTTGTACCTGCAGATGTAAAACTTTTGCTCTCAGAGACTATTACAGTTTTCCTCATTTAGGTATTAACAGTTGTTAAAGATAATGAAACTTGAGCTGTTCTTAAGCTATCTTTTTTTCCTCTGCTGTTTTAAGACAATCTTGCCCTGTCCCCCTTCCAAACATCTTGGAGAAATAGGTTTATTAATGTAGGGTGCTGCTGTTTCCTGTATGTAAAGGAAAACTGTGTTAGTGCACACACACATGAGAGTGGAAGTAAGCTAACTTCACAGGGTGAGTTTAAATACACATATTCAATGTTTCAAACAGCAGCTGCAAATTTTGTGAATCACTTTAGGTTCTTCTTTGGGAGTACAGTAGTCTGGGGGTTTGTGAACATGATTTCATTTGTTATTTTGGTTTAGTTTAAAAAAGTCATTGCATGTTCCTCTTTATTTCCAATTCCCTTGCTGAATGGAATGCAAAAGAAGAAATCTCAAGAAAATAAAAGACTTCTCAGGGTATGCTTTAAGTCTTTAACACAGACTTTGCAGTGGATTCTCCTTCAGTGAGGCACAAATGCAAATAGGATTAATTTCCAGATTTGTATTGCTGTTCCCATGAGCTGACTGATGTTAATTGTGTGGTTATTTCTGGATAGCCTGTGTCACAATCTGATCCCTAAGAAACAGATGCATAAGTAAGGTCCTGTCTGCATAGTTGCAGCTGGAATTGTCACATCTGTACAAATACCTGAAAAGTTCTGAAGGATTCAAAAGCCTCAAATTGGCTTATGCTTATGGCAGATATCCTCATGACAAAGGAAGACTCTTGTAAAGATAGTGTACCCCTAAAGGATGTTTTGATCTTAGATGCCGCTGGAGACAAGCAAATCCAAAGCTTAAGTCCACAGAAACCTGCTCTTTTCCTGCCCAAACCCTGGACAGGCTTTTTGGGATTCTCTAGATGACAATTTTAGCAGTGGAGGAAAAGAGGCCTCAACAAACCTTCTGAATTTTTTTTTTTTTTTTTTTTTTTAACCATTGTGGCCTTGAACACCATTACACAAAAATCTTGAAGTTTATTTAGCAAAAGTTAATCATTAATGCTGGATACAATAAATAGGGACTAACTGTATATTAGTCTGAGAGCAGAGCACTCCAACGAGGCTCCAGCTGACGAGTTTACATTGTACCAAGGAGCTGTTTGGAACAGCATCCTCACAAGAAACTGGGCTCAGAGGTGTGAACTGCCTTGTTTTTAACTGAGTTAACTTGGAATGGAAGTAAAACTAGGCCTTTAAAAAATATTTATGGATGTCAATGTGGTTAAATGTTGCATTGTGACAATTTAATGTTGTTACAAAACCCAGCAGGCAATATTTTGGAACCCTGTGTGAAAGTCCCTCCCCAAGCTCCTTTTTGACCACTGATTGACCTTTAGCTGGGGCATTGATATGCCACTACCCCTGGTTTCTTGATTAATTCAGACTGACTTTTCCTGAAATTCTTTGTAGCTGAAGGACCTGTATTTTGTTCTGGCCATGATTTAAAGGAACTGTCAAGTGAAGATGATGTGAAGCATCATTCCCAAGTGTTTGAAATCTGTGCAGAGGTAAGCAGTTCTTCTTAAGTGCCACTCCTTTTGCCTGGAAAATTTCTTGCTTTAAGGACCAGAAAACCCAACTGGACACAGTCCTGGAAAACCTGCTCCACCCGAGCCTTCTTGAGTACGGGGGTAGGACTTTATGATCTCAAGAGGTCACTGCCAACCTAAATGCTTCTGTGAAACTGGAAAAGCAAGTTCAGGAAGAAATTAAATCTAAGAGATGAAATGACACTTGAAGTGATCCATTTTCTGATGTTCATGGTAGTTGTAAGTGCTTTAAACTCTACCTGAGCATCCTAAAGGGATTTAAGTTTCTTATAAATCACAACTCACTGTTATTCCCATGGAGGAAGGTCTTACTGGTTAATAATGGCACTTTACAGGTAAACAGAAATAAAGAAATTAATTCAGGCTTTATTTAGGATCCTAACTAATACTTAAATTTTAGTTGTGTGGTAGAATAATGGACTTTTGCTTCTTTTTGGTCAGTAGAGAGAGAAAGGTACTTTTGGGGGCTTCCAAAATGGAATCATATCTTCCTAAATTTTAATAAGTAGAATGGATCCTACCCTAAATGACATGCCTGCAGCATTGTGGAGCACTGGACTTTCAGGTTTTCAGGAACCTTGGGTTCTACATCTGGCTATGACTGGTGACCTTAAGCAGATCATCTGAGCTGCTACATCTGTTTCCCTATGCACATAACGGCGTTAGCAATACTGTGTAATACAGTATCCAAGTACTCGCCACATACACGTTTGAGACATACACAGCTGAGAATATCACTTCTTAAGAGGCTTTTCAAATACAAAAGCGTAAGTACCAGGGGTTTTTTTTCAGAGAAGCTGTTGACTTTGAATTTTTATAACCACAAGAGCATTCTATAGTTATTTGTCAGTACACACGCAAGTATCATTACTCTTTTGTTGTCTGCTTCTCAAGATCCACTGGAAAACTGTTTTTAAACAAAGATAGAAGAATGGAGACAGACTGATGAAATTCAACACTGAATGTACGTAATTTTACCTAAGGAACATAAAATTTATTGGACTTCACCTACTGGAAAAAATTGAATTAACAAATGAAAATTTGTTATCTTGCTGCACTGTGCTAATACGAGACATTATTTTTTAATCCAGATAATGACTTTAGTCATTTAACTAGTGTTTTCTATCTTCAGGCATTAAAATTATGTGAGTTTATTGGTTCCCACTGTATGGAAGGAAGACCTGAGTTAGAAAAGTTAAGACAAATTAATCTTAACTTCAGCTGTCTAAAGTTGGATGTCCAACCTTCAAGAATTATCTGAGAGATACAATGAGTGCATTTTCCCGTATTATGTCTAATACAAGCAGCAAAAGTTGTTTCTTGGCAGGCAAGTCCCTCCCTGGAACACAGTAAGCCTGGAAAGACATCCAATGATTGTGCTTAGGTGAGATCAACTCAGACTCAAGATCATGCATAAACCATCGAGAGTCTGGTTTAATTTCTCAGGACAGAGATTTTTGTGAAGCCCGTTTTCCATTATGGGGCAAATGAAGGTGGGGATGGCATGTCTCCAGTACACATCTTCCTACAACCAGGAACTCTAGACCCGCAGTGCAGAGGCACCCAAGCTCCATACAGATCCGATAACAAGTGTTTCTGCCTTTCTTTCCTATGTTTTCCATTTCCAGTGGCCTTTGCAGGACCAACTCGTGCTACGTAAACACAACTGAGCAGATACTGCAACAGCAGTGGTCGTGCGCGTGAGAACAGGTTTTGCAGAAAGCTTACTTCTTTTTCTAAACCCCAATTAATAAAGCTGAAAAATGCACACATCAGATGTGTGAAGCAATTGGAAGTTTTAGAGCAGCCACTGGTTAAGTTTCAGGGACTGACCACTTTCTTTTTTGCATGCAGGTTATGACTTTAATCCAGAAACTTCCAGTACCAGTGATTGCCAAAGTAAATGGCTTGGCTACAGCAGCCGGCTGTCAGCTTGTGGCAAGCTGTGACATTGCAGTGGCAAGTGAGAAATCTCAATTTGCTACTCCTGGAGTAAACATTGGACTGTTCTGCTCCACA